ATGTTACCAATTAAATTAAATACTTTTGTTCGGAATCGTGTTTCCGAAATATTAGAAGAAACCAGTTCTAGCAATTGGAGGCATGTCCCTACAGACGATAATCCCGCGGATTTGATATCTCGTGGAGTAGAACCTTCCGCCATGCAAGCATTGGATTTATGGTGGTTTGGTCCATCCTTTTTACGACAGGATATTACTAGACTGCCATGCATGCCTACGGATTCAGTGAACCTACCTGAAATTAAGTCAAATATTTGCCTTGTAGCGAGTGACGCTAATCATAATTTAGATAAAGGATTAATTAATTTTGAACGTTTTTCAAATTTTACGCGGTTACAACGTAGTATTTGTTATGTGTTACGTTTTATTAAAACATGCAAAACCCGTTCTACATTTACGTCTAACTTTACTGCTGAAGAATTACAAAACTCTTTAAACATAATTATAATTCAGTCGCAAAAGGAATCTTTTCCCGAATATAATTTATTAATAAATAATCAAAAACTACCATATAAAAATCAATTATTAAAATTTAATGTTTTTCTCGATGATAACAAAATAATCCGTATAGGGGGAAGATTACATAATTCTGACTATTCATTCGAGAAAAAACACCCTATATTATTACAGTCCACTAATCATTTTGTCAAACTTTTATTCAGACATGAGCATATCAAGTTAATGCACGCTGGACCTCAACTATTATTAAGTACCATTAGGGAAACCTATTGGCCGCTAGGCGGTCGTAATTTAGCTAGGGCTTGCTACCGTCAGTGCGTTCGATGTCAACGTTTGAAAGGACAGACAGTTGTTCCCCAAATGGGTAATTTGCCAATGAGCAGGCTTTCACCAGCTGACTTTCCTTTTCAAAACGTTGGGGTCGACTATGCAGGACCCATTTCGTCAGCTAGTCGTCAAGGTCGCGGATGTAAAATAGTAAAGGTATATATAGTTATATTCGTGTGCTTTACTACGAAGGCCATTCATTTGGAATTGGTGGGTGACTTGACTAGCAGTAATTATTTACAGGCATTACGCAGGTTTATGTCTCGAAGGGGAAAACCGCTTAATCTTTTTTCCGACAATGGTTCGTCGTTTGTAGGAGCCTACAATGAAATTTCTAATTTTTTAAAACTTAACTGTGACTCCTTAGCTGAAGACGTTGCCCAACATGGAACTAAGTTCCATTTTATTCCTGCCTATGCTCCACATTTCGGTGGACTTTGGGAGGCAGGTGTTAAGTCGGTCAAATACCATTTAATTAGAGTGTTGGGAAATTGTAATCTCACGTACGAGGAGCTTAACTCCGTACTAATTCAAATTGAAGGTATTTTAAATTCGCGGCCACTTACGCCCTTATCTACGGACCCTGACGACGTGCTTCCGTTGACTCCTGGACATTTTTTGATTGGACGGCCACTTACTTCACTTCCAGTCGAGGATCTGCGAGAACCTTCTAGCAGCCGCCTGAGTCGTTTCCAGCGAATTGAGCAAATGAGACAGCATTTTTGGATCAGGTGGAGCAAGGAGTATGTATCCGAGCTGCAGCAACGTGTGAAATGGTACACGTCCAAAGACTCATTGAAACTCAACTCACTTGTTGTTGTCAAAGATGACAACCTGCCGCCATTAAAGTGGAGGATGGGACGAATTGTCGCTCTTCATCCCGGGACGGATAATATCAGCAGGGTTGCAGATATTAAGACTGCCAATGGAGTCATACGACGAGCCTGTTCAAGAATTTGTCCCTTACTGGAAGATTCCTGTTGAAAGGCAGGCTTTCAACGGCCGGGGGCATGTTGAAGCACCATTAAACTATTTTAAGTTAATTAAGTAACATAACAAACGTAATGCTCTTTTTTTCTATCAGGCGTCGTTATATATTGTCATTATAGCACAGACGGTGATTTTAAATTTTTCTTTCTCAATAAATCTTAAGACTGCGTGCTGTCCGGTCATCAAAGTTTTAATTTTTCATTTAAAAATCCCAGTAAATCCCCCCTATACGCGCACAGCACTTGAGTATTTCGAAATTATCAAATATTTTCTAAATATTTTAATCGGCTGTCCTAGATTTATATACTGAAAACGTTATTGAAAACATTTAATTGACTATTACTTACAATAAGCAAAAAGCAAAATAAATAAATTCTTTACTGACATATGACATAATTTTATGCATACTCAAATGATAACGATTTCTCTAGCCCCTGCGCTCGTTAAAAACTGTGTTGCAGGAGACAGTGTCTTACTCATATAATTAGTGACAGGTTTATGGCAACACAATGATAATAGTACAAGTAACATTTAAAAAAAACACAAAAAAAAGATATTGTGTAAATACTTAACAGAGTTCAAGGTTATAAGGATTCGTCCATAAGTTAATCTGCCGCGCTTGAGTGAATCCCATAAATATATTTTAAACTAGCACTGCCCGCGGTTCCGCCCGCGTTCAGATGACCAAAAACTAAATTCTTAGGTTTTTCATATTAGTATAGTCTTACGTTGCAGTTTTTGTATTTTTTCTCAGAAATGAGATATTTTCCCGCGGTAAAAAGTATCCTATATGTTGACCCGGATAACCAGCTATCACCATACCAAATTTCATCAAAATCCCTCCAGTGTTTTTTCTGTGATGCGGTAACAGACAGACAGACAGACAAAAATTGTAAAAACTATAAATTCGGCCTCTGTATAATAATAATGTCTATTTCAAAAAGATTTTCCAAAAAATATTTAATGTACAGATTCGGGTTAGTTACAATTTTATTATACGTATAGATATGGATTATTACTTTATATAAAGAAGCACATATTTATAGTTTACACGTCATACACTATCTTTAAATTGCGTAATTTTCCTATGACGTTAAAATGCTATTATGCTAAGTGTGAATGTAACAATTTTGGCGAAAATCCAATATATATATATATATATATATATATATATATATATATATATATATATATATATATATATATATATATATATAGCTAAATGTACTTTCTGTACACGTTTAGTAGAATCACGCAAAGTACACATCTCTTAGAACAATGATATATAAATATGGCAAGAAATAGAAATTATTCAGTATATAATCCACTGTTGTCCAAACATTATTTCAATACAAAAAATCACATTCAGTCATATATGAAGTAACAACAAACCGACATACACTTTCACATTTCTAATATTAATAAGCAAACAAGTAACTCTTAACAGTACTGAACAGAAACTTGGATGTTTGCCCGCTACTCCCACCAATATTATTTTGTAATGTATTAATCAGAATCTGTGCATTCAATATTTTTTGAAAATCTTATTGAAATAGACATTATTATCGATACAGAGGCCGAATCTATAGTTTTTAGAATTTTTGTCTGTCTGTCTGTTACCGCATCACGGAAAAAACACTGGAGGGATTTGGTATGATGGTAGCTGGTTATCCGGGTCAACATATAGGATACTTTTTACTGCGGGAAAATATCTCATTTAAAAGAAAAAATACAAAAACTGCAATGTAAGTGTATACTAATATGTAAAACCTAAGAATTTGCCTTTTGGTCATCTGAACGCGGGCGAGGCCGCGGGCAATGCTAGTTGTACTATATACATATAATCATAAGTTACGTATCCGCGAATAACGAAATTTTCGGCCGAGAATACAGGAAGTAGTCTCAACTTTTTTTTCCGCGAATAACGGAATCGCGAATAAGTAGCTTTTACTTTACTATCTTCTACGCGGTGCGGTGTATTGAAAATGTCGAGGCCCGTTCAAAAACTTTTCATCCACACCATATACTTGGACACAACATGTTCACACAGTCGCTGATACGACTTACTTTCGTGTGGCAATAAATTTTACAATAATTAGAGACACTCGCGTTTCCTCAAAGACACGTCTTATATTCTTATATACTGGGTGTACCGTGTATAGTGTCTTATTATTATTATTTACTAGCATTGCCCGCGGCTCCGCCCGCGTTCAGATGACCAAAAACTAAATTCTTAGGTGTTACATATTAGTATACTCTTACATTGCAGTTTTTGTATTTTTCCTCAGAAATAAGATATTTTCCCGCGGTAAAAAGTATCCTAGGATCGCGCGCTACATCGCCCGGTTTATATAGCTTGAGCAGGCGGTCGAGCGATGCGGGGCAGAGGGGATGGACTCGCCGTAGGCATCTCAATGCTCGCCAAGCATTAAAAATGTTTCGCTACTAATTACTTCTAACAACGATATCTCAAAAACTATTCATCTGATTGATTTAGTGTAAAGAGCAATTTTAATCTGCATTAAATGACTAAGCTAACTAAAATATTCATTTGGATAAGGATTAATACCGAACTAAAGAAAATAACTTTGAAAATAACGTAATGTTTTTAATTAAAAATGTTAACATAAAAGTGGTTATTGTAAGTCAACCGTAAGAGATAGAGATATGCTATCGCGGACTTTTTTGTAGCATTTTTATAGATTTTGAATTCTCTAGTACATTACTTAACTGTATCTTTGCTAGTTTACGCGGCGTTCGCGTGGAAAGTTCCCATTTGGCGAGATTTTTTGCGACCTCTTCAACATTTGTCGCCGTATTTCATAAAATACAATGCTAATTTACATAAAAGCATAATAAATTATATACCTAAACCTTCCTCAAGAATTACTCTTTCTATTGTTGAAAACCGTATAAAAATCCGTTCAGTAGTTTTCGAGTTTATCGCGTACAGACAGACAGGAGGACAGACAGGAGGACAGAAAGACGCGGCCGGGGGACTTATTTTTATAATAAGTATAGATGTTGGGTGTGGTGCCGAGGTCGGTGTATAGTGTCTTAGTCTAATAGAGTAGTTATTCGTACAGAACAAAGATTGACGTTTCTTCAAAACGAAGCTACTAGAAACTAGATTTCAGATCTGAATAAAACTATAACTTATATACTATATTAACTTATACTTTCGTTAACAACACAAATTGATAACTAAAGAAAATAAATTCCAGCCGACAAATACTGCAGCTTGGTCGAAGCCGAGGGCGGTCTGAAGTTGCTCCACGACCTCCTCCAGCACCCGGACCCCTACGTGATGATCAAGGATCTAGCTTGGATTGTGATCCATAATTGCGCCCGCCATGCCCTCCGTGACCTCTCGACACCGCCTGCTTCGCCGGACAATTAACTAATGGAGTACTTTGAGGAGATAGATCCTCACGTACGAGAATAACGCCGGCTTGAACTTTCATTTTACATCTTTCGGATCTTATGTGTCCTCATATTCACAGTCGGCTTGGGCATACTAATCCTGCCCTTCTCGTACAAATAAACTGATATGGACAGCTTTTTACCCACTCGGGCTTCGTGTTAGTGTTTTAGTGTAGTGTTGTGTTAACACTGCTGTTGATGTTAATTGTGTGCCACTAATATAAACTGTTGTGTGTTGTGACCGCATTAGCATACATAAGGATAAGCTGGACTTTTCTCCATTTGTATGTAACGTCATATACAGTGTTAACAATGTTAACATTGCTTAGTGTTAAGTGTTAACAGCAGTTTTAACAGCTATCACGATAACATCAAATCTGTGTTGGATCAGTGTTTACTAGTTTCAGGAAGTTTGGTCTCGGAGTTGAACTTATTTCCAGGTGAACAGAAAAAAATATATATTCACGTTTAGATATATTTTACAATTTTTACCTCATGCACATATATTTTAATAACACTATGAACGTACTATTTTCCTAACCATGAATTGTTGTTCTCATGTAGCAATTATTATTACTTATATAAATATTACAATGCTTATTGATATCATATCCATTATCTCGTAGCGCAGCTTACGTTTTATTTATTGACTAACGAGCGAAATCATTAACATTGTGTGATTAACAAGAGGTACATGTAACATGCTCTCTTATTTGCTAGATTAAAAATTATATTTAAACATTTTTTTGTAATTTAAGGAGTCTAAAAGATTATACGTTCAAAATTCAAGATATTTACTTTAACACAATTCAATAGGAATAGGCGCTGAACATTGTAATCCAAATTTATTAAAAAAAGTATGTTGTTAAGATAGAAATACAGGATTGTATGGCATTGGATTGTTACGTGTCTCCTGCATTCAACGTGACATTGGCGAAATAATCTGTGCTCAACTGGCACGCTTTGAAGCCATTAACAAGAAAATTGAATTGAATTGAACATAGGATTATAATAAAGTGTAATCTTTTGAAAGATCTCTAATAAATTAATGTTTTTTTAATTTCGATTTGGTGTTCGGATAAGGATCATGGTATCAGGCCGTTAACAGTATAAGTGCAGCTTAAGATATACGAAGTACGGAATACTTCATGTACATATATTTCGATATAAACCAAAATAAATACTTTACTTCAATAAACCTTAATATTTTCGTAGATATACGCGAATTATTGACATTTTTTTAAATTAAACTATTTTTTCGGGATTTTTTTCGCAGATTTATTTTGAGTTTTGGTTTCCAACGTTCCGAATGCTTCACAGCAATCGTGGTCGCGGGAGATACTGAAAAAATAGTTTTGTTTGAAAAATATTAATAAAACTTAGAAAGAAAATGACGATGACGAGCTAAAAATTTCAGGCCTATTTAATGACCACAACATTGTATGTTTTTGTATTATAATAAAAAAAAAGTAAATAAAAAATAAATTAAACGTCTATAGTTAAATTGTATGAATATAAGTATTAGTAAATTAAATATTTTTTTGAAAGTGTTTTAGGGTATCTTAATATATGATCTACATTATAGCTAGCTATGTATAGTTATAAATATGTCGTAATGTATAATATGAATGTATAGTATAATTTTCTGCTAGATATTGGGGTTCCTGGTCTGACAATCTATCTGTGGTCATTTGAGAAGTATGACTATCAACTACACTTTTCTTGTAAAATTAAAACGTATAACAGTAGTGAGTTGTGGGGCCGAATTTAATATATTTAAATATCTCTCTTCCGAATGAAGCATGTATCTAAAATATTATGTTATAACGGGTGTTGAGAAACCAATTTACATATGAAATAGTAAATATATATATACATAAATCACCATTAGCTGAAAGGTCAGAATACTGGATAGATTTAGATATAAATAGTGTTAAAAATTAAAATTTTGATGGCTATATATATGTTTGTATCAAAGGCTTCCTTTTCTATGTGAATTTAATATATCGGATTCCATATTTAAATGAATATTTTCCTTTAGCGAGATGTCTTTAAAATAGATTAGTGTATATTCAACAAAACTTACCGTCTGTAGTTGGTTCAAATTTTGCTATAAATGTTTTTGATGTAAAATAATACGTGTCGTGTTTAATAATTACTTTGATATGGTTATTTATTCTGATAAAGAAAATATTATATTCATATTAGAAAGTGTGTATTTAAACTAGATGGAACAGGCTACAAATGAAGACGGAACTTACTATATCAAAGTAGTATTTATTATTACAAAATGTCTAATACATAATAAAATTTAAAGCAGCATTTTTATACATATACAAACACATTAGAATGTGTTTTTGGTGTTAAATGTTTAAATTAAATTCAAACATTTAAATGAAATTGTCACCAATTTGTGTGAATTTTGCTATATTGCACTTAGGTTTTATAATGGCCGCTAATGGGAATGGGTTCGAGGCTATAAATCAATGTACTATTCTCTTAATATTTTACATGTTGATATCGGCTGAAAGGAAATCTACATTATACAATGATTAGACGTCGATATTAGTGTATACAATATATATATACATATACATATATATATATATATATATATATATATATATATATATATATATATATATATATATATAATGTATTATCATAATTGTGGCTAGATGGTTAAGGGTTAGTAGTCTAAATGTTAAAATAATAAGGGTCTATGGACATAACGTGTTATAATGGCGCGTATTCTGCGCTAATAAAAATAAAAAATGCAGATTATTTTGTATGGAAATAAATAACGAGCGACAGACGCGTGTCGGTAACGCGTTAAAAAGTCTTAGTGTGCAAAAACCCATAATGTCTGCCCACTACACCGTCTCATACCATGAGCGTGCTATGAACGTATCAGGCACGGAAACGACCATGGCACGGACTACTATGCCCACTAGAACGTATCAACATCGTATCATACCTGCACATAACGGTTTTAGTGCTGAGTACGCTCACCATTTCGCCGGCAATTGTTACCGCTCCGTGCAAAGCATGCGACGGTGGCGGTCTGGTGAAGGTACGGTCTAGTGGACAGAGTCTCATACTTTTCAATACAAAGATTTTTTTTGCCTGACACGGTCCTAGCACGGTCATGGTATGAGACGGTGTAGTGGGCAGACGCCTTTATTTGTTACTTAGTTTTTTGTCTGTGTTATGGGTTTTATGGACAGACATGCGCACTCCCTGTAAAACTTCTCTAGCTACATGAATGACAGTAACTGTCTATATGTAATATTTAAGAATTCGAAATCCTTAATGTAATATTTCAGAATTTTTCAATACAATTACGCACAATGTTACATTTTACATACTTTCAGTTTTCTTAGTAACGAAATTTTATTGCAATGTTATTAGTTATTATTATATCTTTGAATTAATCGAAACTTATTTATTTTTAGTGTAAAGAGTGTTGAAATTCGAAAAATATATTATTTTCGTAATAAGTTAACTGAACAGTACTAATTTCAAGGTTAATTTTGACGTTTTTGTATGTTTTTTTTTGTTATATCATAAAAAATTATATGAACAAACGATAATATATAAATATATATCTTAATTTGTAAAGTCTTGGGCGAGGGTATCCAAATACTTTAGACATTACTCTGAGAAGGACTGATCACTGAAGTGAGCATAGAAAAGCTGGACGAAGATTTTTTGAAACGGATTGTTTATAAATTAGACCCTTATTTATCTCCTGTAATGCTATTTATTATTTTATTTTAGACAATCGCCATAACTATATGGTAAAATAAATATATACATCACATAAATAACGGGTATACCTGTGGTATTCATACCAATAGACTGGAATGTCTCCTCTGGTACTCACGCGCCACCTATCTTACGTCGATGATACTATATAAGAAACAGCAAATAACACAATAACTCACCAAAAATCATTACACTCGGTCGACCGATTTAACAATTAAAACTGCATAAACACACATACATACATATAAATTATTTTTATATATTTCGTTTTTAATTTATTTAAAGCCTACGGTACGGTATAAGTTATAAGTTAAAAATGTATCATTTATAATAAAAAAAATTAATAGCTTATCAAAAAGAACAATAAGCAGGAATCCTCGCCTTGGGTCCAACACGAACTTGACCATAAATTATGTAAAATTTGTTTTCCATAACCAACAATGTAAAAGCTACTACTAATATCTTCATGTGTTAGTTTGAACTGTAGCATTTCGATTCATTGAGCCTTTATCATTATATGTGTATGTATATCAAATTATGGAACAAATTTATTTCTAATTCTAACATTTGGAAGCTTTAAGTTAACTTTTGAGAATAAAATTATTTTAAAGAATTCTTTTAAAGAAATGTCGTTTAGATTAATGTTAATAATAAATAAATTATATTCCACATTACTGTTTTAATAACACACTTCCCAAGTATATTAAGAGAATATTTTCCATAAATTAAGGTCATATTTTTGACGACACGTTTGTTTCAGTTAACACTTGCTGTGCTAACGGTCGCGGGTTCGAGTCCCGTTGGGGGCATTGATTTGTGTGATAAGCACGAATGTCTGTACTCCAGTAATGGGTGTTTACATTTATAACATGTATAGTAAAAATAAAGTTATATATGTGTAGTGTATCGACTATCTGGTATCCATAACACAAGCCTCTATGACCATAGAAGTAGATGGTGCTGTTTGTTAATGTCCCAACATATTTATATTTTATCAAAAACTAACGACGTACGATCCATCCTTTGTCAGATACGTTTTAAATAGATAGGTAAAAGGTACGTTTTAAAGAGGCAACTTTTTTGATTGTATTTTGAAAAAAATAATATATTAAGTGAATGATTAATATCTAAATAGTTAATTATAAAAATCAGAATTAAGCTTTTTCTAAAAATGATGTTTGTTTTTAAGCACTTTAGAAACCTATTTAATATGACAAAATTAATGTATATGGATATTGTGCATTGGGCACAGATATTTTATTGAATCGTCTTTTATAGTTCACTAGCGACTCGCCGTCGTTGCTCCGCTCGGGTTCGTCCCTACTTACCTACGTTTTAACGTTTAGTATAAATTTCTCAGAGATGGGATATTTTCCCGCAGTAAATAGGATAACCAGCTCAAATCATACCAAATTTCATCAAAATCCCTCCACTGGTTTGCGATGCGGTAACAGACTGACAGACATACAAAAAATCTAAAAACTAGATTCGGCCTCTGTATCGATAATAATGTCTATTTCAATAAGATTTTCCAAAAAATATTTAATATACAGATTCGGCTTAGTTACAATTTTATTATATGTATAGATTATGAAGTAGGTATAAGACGATATGATTGTTGTACGTGATAATATCTAAGACAGCGAGTTACCCAGCTTACAGAGAAACACCCAGATATAAAAAGAAATTGCACATAAACTATTGCAGATTTTAAGTAGCCCTTTTTAAGACCTACGATTATCTAGTACATTGTTAGTACACTGTTGACTTATAGCAAAAATATATAGCATACGAAAATGTTTTTTTTTTGACAAAACACCATCATAATTCAGCAATGTATACAAAATATTTATAAATGTGCACAAAACTTCCTCGTTTATCGCTCTTCCCATGAATGAAAACTGTATCTAATCCATTACATGGTAAGCCATGAACTGAGCGGAAAACAGATAGGCACACACTAACTTTTTCTTATTTTCTGCTTTGGCATGAATCAAATTTTATACTTTCCCATGAAAATGACAGATTTTATCATACTATATTGTTTAATTACCTACATATATTAATTATAACCCTGCTACTTATACGTTTTATGTAATAAATCATTGAACTTTCTGTATGAACACTTCTATTATTTTCCTGTGGGAATGAAAGTCTAAACCTTTGAGAGTAGTTAAAAGTATCCTAAATGTTGACTCTTGTTGAGTTATCACTTCACAAAATTTGGTTAAAATCCGTTCAGTAGTTTTCCTTTATAATGCGCACACACAACAGACATAAATTTCAACAGTTATATTGTGTATCTATAGACAACACGTAACGATCATAATTTAAAAATATATTTCATGTCCAGTGTTATAATTTTATCATATATTTGGGTATGTAGATATGAAAAAAAATATCGAACAAAAACATAAACCCTTTTTTTGGAAATCGGTTAATAAAAAAGTTACCTACTCTGTGTAGAAGCTCTCTGTCTAACTAAAAATCTGCCTAACATCCTTTGTTGTTTTGAACGATGCGTTTGGGTAATAGAAGCAATATATTACTATTGTATTAATCCATCCACGGCCGCGGACACGCCGGCGTTACAGTTAACAATAGATTTCTTATGGCCGATTTCACCAACGTCACCTAAGTTTAAGGGATCTCCTAAGCATGGTTAGGGGACAGTTTCTGTTTCACCGACAGTTAGGGGTCACCTAAATGTTAAAATGCCCCTAAATTTAGGTGCTCGTAATATGGGCTGAAAGACGATGGTAAAACGAAATTTAATTTAGGGGCTAGTTTAGGGGACTTTTAAGCTAGGGATCCCATACGTAGGTGGTAGCTTATGGGTTGTTGGTGATATCGGGCATTAGAAATTTAATTAATTTCTTAAAAATTTACCTGGAGGTGTTAATTGTTTGACAGTGCTATAAGTACTTGTCATAGACTTAAATTAGGAGGAATTCCCAACGTTAAAAAAAAAATAAAAAAGGAGGAATTATTGCTCTCTTTTTTAAGTTTTAAGGCTCCGACTTCCGTGCCTCAAGAGGAAATAAGGAACCCTTAAAGAACACTTCGTTGTCGTCTATTAAAATTAATGTTAGTTGTGCAGTGCTTAGGATCTGTGAAAAAAAATCTAAATTCTAGGTCAAAACAATAAAAAGATACAGCCGTTTATGTAGTATATTTTGACGCTCGCTGAGAAACTGAAGGAAATTAAAACCTACGGTCTTGCTGTTGATTTTGAATCATGAAATACAAGTCAAGGAACCAATCCGAAAACCGTAAATTTATATTACAAAGTAAATAATATGTTTGGGATAATAAACTTACTTTAAATATTTCATGGTACGAAACCCTCGGAATGCGAGTCAGACTCGTACTCGTCTGAATTTTTTCAATACTAAAGAATATACTGGGGCAGTGATTTTATCAAGATAATAAATCTGACCAAAATTTTTCATATTCATTTCAAATATTAGTTTTTTGTTTGGCGGGGAATCACCACTTGGGTACTTTTTATCCTTCGTTTTTTGCTATTTTTTGTTACGCACGAGTAAATTTCATACAAAAGTATGATTAAAATAAGTTATGGATTTAATTTTGTATTATTTAAGTTAAGTAAAAGATCGACACAAGTCGCCTTTTGCCTTTTAATTAAGGATTTTTATCCGACAACAGAGGATTATTCATTTTACGCACAAATGCAATTTCAAGTAATTCTGATCATAAATATTTTTTGAGTTGTAATATAACGTGTTTTTCCGTGGGAATTAAGGAGGGACACTCTCCAGCCCTCTATCTCCACATAAAAAATCACGCCAATCCATCATTCCGTTTCGACGTGAATGAAGGACAAACAAACACACTTTCATCTTTATAATTAAGTATGGAAGTTCTCATGGTTCAAAATATTCAAATAAAAGGAAAGAAGATGCAGTGCGTACTTTTCATGTACATGTAGGTATGTACATCTAATAGAACTAATTACTATTTATGCAATATTTTCAAATTTGTATTGCAAATGCGTTTTCAAGACTGTGAAAGTGAATCTGCTCTAATTTTTATAATATTTTAATTGAATTCATATATGCGTCTAGACTCTAGCTGAACTAATACTGCTTATTAAAAAGTTATTTCTAACAAATATTTGAACGTAGAAAACAGTTTTTGCCAACTAACAGACTCGGCCATGCGCTGCTGTGGCACACATATGTAAAACGTTATATTTATAAAGTAAATAATCGGGATAGAAACTATCCTATCTTTTAAGTTACAAAACACACATTTTGAAAAAAATACGTTAGGTACGGATAAGTAGTTTCGGAGTTCATCCCGACCAATATCGTGACATGGGAATTTTATATATTAAGATTTCTCCGTTCCGGGTCATCGAGTAATGTGATGGAAGAAAACCCTGCTCAAGAAATTGATTATAATGAGAACTCAAAATTAGAGAAGAAGAAATTTTAAATTAGAGTGCTTCTAGGCGTTAAAAATAAAAGTCAAAGTACAACAAAGTATTATTTATTTTTATAAAGTTTTAATAACATGTTCATATACAATTTTAAATAAAATTTGTCACCTCCAGACAATGAATGCATGCAAATAAAATAATTTGTCTAAAAATTATCATAACATAAACTTTTACGAATCTATTTGTGCTTACACGTACTCTGGTGATTGGAATCCAATAATTCATAAGTGCTCTCAAAAGGCTCCCTTATCTGTTATCTATATTATTATATATTGATTAGGCTTCAATTCGTTTTTCCTATTCTCTTAGCTACAATATTTCACGATACACCATTACACAATAAATTATCTAGGTATTTATATTAAAATTTAACATTTCTAACATGTTAGTAACCAGTGTCAAAAAGACAGCAGACATTGTTATCGATTCGCCTATCTATCTATGCAATAAATGAACTTGTTAGAAATAATGATATGTGGTTATTTTGTATACAATAATAAACTATTTAACATGAACATAACAATTAATGTTTAAATATCACATAATAGTCATAAAAATATTATCTAAATGTATATAATATCTTGTGGTCCATTTTAACGCACTACTTCTATCACGTGTCTGCCCGAGAAGCGGAAGTGCTAGCGATCTAATATAAATTCATACTATAAATCAATTCCTATATTATTAAGGTATTACATGTTCCACATCTAATCATTATTGAGGATTACATATTGCTCGCTAACCGTGCCAGTTAGCAATATACATAAAAATATCCACGCTATAACTAACGAGGTAATAAAAACTTCATATGAAAATTTATTGATTCACGTCAAATAAGGCGTACGGTGTATGTATAAAAATGTAAAATGTGCCATAGACAATATATATATTTTTTGTACCGGGCGTGCTATCTGACACGTGTGGAAGGTGCGTGTTGCGCCCGCCGATGTTATTCGTTGAGGACGCAAGTGCGCATGAGAGCGTCGATGACGGCGTACGGGTCGCAGTTGGACGCCGGCCGACGGTCCTCTAGGTAGCCCTTCTTCTCTTCGGCGACCGCGCGCGGTATTCTGATGCTGCTTGCACGGCTTGCGACGCCTTGACAATACAATGTTATATTATATATTTTTGTTATATTATATTATGTGCCTAGTATAATTTATAGATATATATTATACTAGCAGTATCCGCGGCTTCGCTCGTGCTAAATCTACGAAAAAATCTGTATAAAAAGTAGGTTTCATACAAACTTTCATCCCCTATTTTACCCACTTATAGAATGAATGCTAAAACATGTATTTATTTAATTTTATTTAAAAGCATATATACTAAGTTTCAAGTAATTCTGATAATTATTATTTATTTGATTGTGTCTTGTGGGAATTAAGTGATCTCCCGCGATAAAAAGTAGCCTAAGTCACTCTCCAGCCTTCCAATTATCTCCACACAAAAAACACACCCATCAGTCACTCCATTTTGTGAAAGAAGGACAGACAAACAAACACATTTTCACATTTATAATATTAAAAATGGAATGCATGATGTTTACGTTTACCTATAATTTTCTAGTTTTATAAGTAATACTTAATGGCTAAAATAGTATAATTTTCAATAGATACAATTGGATAGCTGTAAAGACAAAATCCGCATGCTTAATTAAAACAAAGGACAAAAACTAATATGAAGAAGAAAATAATTAAATTCTATTATGACCTTATGAAAGAATATTGCTGAAAAATAAAATACAACCAAAGTAACATTTCCAAAGCGGAATTATTTCCTTCTAGTATATATTTCCAAGAATATAATGATTTTACCATCTATAAATAGTAAACAAGTAGGCGTACCAGCGCTAAAGTCGTTAATACTGGCAGTCTCGTGCAGGCCGGTGAGCCGTCGCTCGTTGTCCTTGCCGCCGCGCGGGTCGTACACCTTGATGTGCTTCATGTGCACCTTCGACAACTTGTCGATCGCCTTTTCGATCTCACTGTTTATTATTATAATAAATTAATTAATTACTTTATAAATTTTTAGTTCTCGTGTCTTACAATTTATAATTTACGTTTTGAGGTACCATAACATGATAATAATTGAATTTAATTGTTTAGTAGATATATTTTCACGCCTCTTGTGAGGTAGACGGAGATAATTAAGTTTGACGTGACCGAGTACTGCGTGTATGTTGCATTCGACGCGACGCGACGGTGCGTTTTGTACTAACTAGACCAATGTCCAATATCTTATTCAAGTTTCATGATATTCGAAAAACGAGTACTTCTTTTAAATTCTTCATCAATTTTGTAAACTTTTACGCCATATACGTAGTCGTTATTAATCATATTATATGCTAGTGGCTCGGCATATACAGTATACATAAATCTGTATGATAAAACACTAAATACAAACAATTGTCCCGTGCGAAATTTGCATCATTGATTGATGTGGAAAGCGTCAATACATCAGAGACTCTTAAGTTATTTGCTAATATAATGGTACACTTTAAATTATATTCATATATTGGGACAACAGTTTTATGAGAGATTTGTAAGATATTTACAAAATCTTTGACCTCGCATGTGAACAAAGAAGATAAGAATTTCATTGACGTAAAACGCAATTTATTGGCCCGATTTCGTGTGCTCACAGACAATAACAGACTTTAAGCCTACATATATATAAATATGAGACGTAATTTAGGGCATTAAGATGCAATAATTAATAATATATTAATACTTACATAATACCATTTTCTTCCCGCATTTTCTTGGTTGAGAAGTTAGTATGGGCGCCAGAGCCGTTCCAATCTTGTATGGGTTTGGGGTCAAAGGTAACAATGACTCCATACTCCTCGGCCAGTCTATGTAGGATGTAGCGAGCCATCCAGAGGTCGTCGGCGGCACTCACGCCGACCGCGGGCCCCACTTGGAACTCCCATTGGGAGGGCATCACCTCCGCGTTGGTGCCACAGATTGGAACACCAGCGAACAGACAGCATCTGTTTATTTGATATGATATTACGTTAACTTAATTATTCAAATCAGTAATGAAGTTAATTAATTATATTTAACAAAATATAAATAAAAGTGGGTTAGGAGTTGTTTTTTATACTTAGACTTTATTACCGTACAAGACGTTATACTGCAAATATATTGAATATACATTTATAAATTAAGATACTATAAGTGTACTTCTGGTAACTTGGCATTTAAATGCAAATGATCTATCATTACTGATTCAGCTACATTCCCCTAGAATCTGATATTCTTAGGGTGAAATATAAGTTGGTACCTACTAACTAGGAACTACCTCCTCTTTTTCAAACAAAATTTAAACTCCATGCCTATTGGCATTGCATCATGGTTAAAATGAAAAAAATACATAAATCGATTTATCTATTTCTTGTTGACAAATTATAAACAAAACTAATAAAATTTTAAACACCTACCTACGAGGTAAAGAAATCAAGACGACCTGTTATCGATTCATAAGTACAATTTAACAATGGAACAAACAAAGACGAGTGACGTAATGCGTAGGAAAACTCGTTGCAAAGAAAATACGCAATTATATAGATAATACTATGTAACTCGTACGTTTATATCGTTCAATTCGGTAAATAATGTCCATTAACGTTATAATTTGTTACTGTACTAAGTAAAACCAATTCCTAATAGAATGGTAGGTCATTTACGATGTAAAATTCTTTGTAATTAAATCAATTTCTGGTATTAAAAGTAGGACAATGAATGACAATATAAATCTAGTTTAAAGTACAAAAACAATTTACATTCAAAAGGAATTTACCAGTTACAAGTGACTCACCCTCGCTTCGCTTCGAAGAAAAGACAAAAACAAATCTATCCCACGGGAATCGTACATTTTTCTGGGACAAAAAATAGCCTATAAGCTATTCCAGAATATTATCTATCTCGGTGCCAAATTTTATCCAAATCCGTTCAGCTGTTCTGGCGTGAAAGAGTAACAAACATCTATCCACTACAAACAACATTTATAATATTAAGTGTGGATATCTTTTTATCAAACTCTATGAACTCGTATCATTTTTAAGGTGAAAATTTCAATTAGTTTTAGGCCTTATAATGCAACTTATATATGTTAATACATCTTAAAATATCAAATGAGCAATTCTTGTACATATATATAAAAAAATATGTTGTGTATCTCGGAAACAGCTTTAACGATTTGGATTAATTATTGTATTTAGAAAAGGTTTTACTTTTTAAATTTACCTACATAAGTTTATCTTCTGGAAAAAAACGCAAATTTTATATCTTTTTCGGAAAACACCAAGCGAAGCCTATATAATTACCTGTAATGTGCCTCAACCAGATCTCTGGCGAAGACTTTGTTAGCGCCCACTCCGCAGTAGTAGGGGCCCTGTGGTGGGGGGAAGCCGCCTGGGGGCCAACCGAAGGGTCTCAGGTCTGAGTCCAGAAGAATATATTCCTGCTCAATACCGAACCAAGGCTCTTCATCTTTGCATTTGTCGTATGCTTCTTGACATTTGACACGATGATTGCTCTCTGTAATCATTTCATTACATCTTTTTCAAATCTTTTATTGGCGAAATCAGAATATAAGTTAAGATTTATGCAGTAAAATTTTATTAAATACCATAAAAACTTGTGTACATAAACCTATCATTACTTAAACATAATATGAGAATATCAATTTTCAAGGTAAATATTATCTAATTATAAATAAGGTAAGTATATAATTACCTGTAGGCTCCATATTATACTTGTATGTGTCGCACATGACAAGTATGTGGTTTCCACGACGGAACGGATCTTTGTATATAGCGCGTGGCACGAGGAAGGTGTCCGAGTTATGTCCCTCGGCTTGCCCGGTCGAACTGCCATCGAAGTTCCATATGGGCAAATCTATTAAAAGAGACCAAATAAATAAGTAGTTCTTTCTATCCATATACAGTTTTGATATATATTCATATTAGTAGGAGAGCCCAAGAGGGGATTTTTGGATTTACTTATGCGCGGCAGATTAATAATCTGCGTACATAAACATTATAGTCGACTAGTATTGCCCGCGGCTCCGCCCGCCTTCAGATGACCAAAAACCAAATTTATAGGTTTTACATATAAGTACCTACATATACTCTTACATTGCAGTTTTTGTATTTTTTCTCAGAAATGAGATATTTTTCCACGGTAAAAAGTATCCTATATGTTGACCACATAGCAGCTGTTACCATACCAAATTTCATCAAAATCTCTCCAGATGTTTTTCTGTGATGCAGTAACAGATAGACAGACAACAATTCTAAAAACTATAGATTCGGCGTCTGTATCGATAATAATGTATATTTTAATAAGATTTTCCAAAAAATATTTAATGTACAGATTCGGCGTAGTTACAATTTTATTATATGTATAGATTTTCGCCACTTCGGCTTGTGCAAATCGGCAGATTATTGATTGGCACACTTTGCAGGATGCAATTAGCCCACCATACCTTAAACTGATGGTTTCAAGTATTTCTAACTTTTCAAAATATTTTTTTAAATATTTTTATCGGCTGCCCTAGACGCGCGCCCTCATATAGAGGACTTATAGTATGGTAGAGGTGCTCAACAGAGTGCAAGGTATCGCCCCTTACGTTAATTTGTCGCGCTTGAGTAAATCCAAAAATCCCCTCTTGGGCTCCCCTTCTATATTTATCTCCTACTCTGTTGTATGTAGCGAACAGCGGCTACACTTAAAATGTTTATTTTATTTATTACATTACAATATTCTAGTAAATTATTCTTAGCGTATATGTAGGTACGTGAAATAAAAACATTTAAACACGATTTTTCCTCGTTAGATTAAAATAAATTTGTTATTTGTGTACGCTTTAGTAATGTAATAATTACATTTTTATTCGTAAGACAAATCTTGATGTAATAATTATAATTAATTAATTTGCTTTAACGAATGACTAGCATGAGGTGTTCTCACCCTTGGCATATGTTAATTTTGGCGGGGACTTTTACGATAAGTTAGTTACTGAAGGTAAAAACAAGATAATTGTAGGAAAATGTAAAACGGTATAGAATAAGTGAAACGAGCAATTTATGTCATTATTGTTCGACAATTTACGTGTTACGGTTATACAATTGAACTCTTAACGAAAATTAAGGCAATACAAATTTTCGGCAATTTATTTCTATGTTAATAACATATTATTCTATTATACATCCAACATATATACCATTGGTATTTTGTTTCTGTTATCTAATTAACTTTAATGTTTGAATCTTACACGAATTTAGACTCGTATTATAGCTTTATAATTTACAATTTTGTATTAACTCCTCCACGACCGCGGACACACCGGCGTGTCAGTCAACAATAGATTTCTTAGAATTTAATTAATTTCTTAGAAATTTACCTGGGCGTGTTAATATATCTTGTAGTAATCATAGCTTGTTTTGTGAGCCATAAATAAATGAATTTCGATTGTTAAAGCAGCCAAATCCAATAACAACATAAATCTAAAAGCTTAGATAGGTATACGGTAGGTACGATGTTTGCACGGTATGTGACATTCGTAGATGGAAAATTACCTGCTTTGTTCATGCCGCATGAACTATGTTAATTATTATCCATTACAGAGAGCTATAGATATAGTATATAGAAGGAATTTTATATTTTGGCCTTTTCTACTTAAAATAACATAAGATGGATTGCTAAAACTACAAAACACAATATGTGCCTACCGTTTATTTAATAAAAATTAACTGCAGGCCCACAATTTATTCTAATTTCGTAAGTTGTTATAACTTGTTCCTGTTGCACTGCATCAACCGTAATATGCAAATCGATTTTATTATAAACAATATCAAAATTCTTACACAACCAGCAACATTATGCACAAACAATCGAATATTATATAAACAATGACGCACATTGAAATATGGTTAATACAAAGAATATGAACCATATCAACAATTAAAAGCTACGGAATTTAAAAACAACTAGCTACTATTACTATCTAATACCTTTAGAACTAATAAATTCTTGTTTTAGCATAATTAATCAATCTTTATTTAGCTACAATCTACGAACTATCTATAAGTTGAATGAAATGTCGATACAGCTACATTTGTAAGACTGCTGAGGCCTATATTAATAGGAAACCTTTCAAGTTTTCATCAAAGCTATCCCAGTCAACGATCCTCTTGCACTGTACATCAAACACGTGCTCAAGATCCTTCGGAAAAAAATATGGCGGAAAGAAATGTCTCTCATACGTCCTTCCTAACGAGTTCCAGAGGCCCTTTATGTATTCTTCATTCATTTCATCTATGATCCGAGTCAGTTTGTCTACAATTAAGTGTTTAATAAAGTAATGACTACATGCACTAAGAGTATAGAAAATGCCAAAAAACTAGTTTAACTATTTTACATAATATATTCTGTTATATCTCAATAAACAAAATACGTAAACAAAGAAGAGCAATAATCCAATATGTTTTTAGTCGCACGGCCATTCCTTTTCCGTTTGCATAATTGATTGTTAACACGTCCTTTCTACGCAACGTTTTTATTTGTAGAGTTGTTTACAAACAGTCCGTTGAAGGCCGCTAAATTATGCGAACTGTGCTAATTACAATGTTTAATGCGGATGTATTAAAACTCGCTCATTTTAATAGGAGTGTAACGTTTCATATACATATTATGTAGTTGACGAGTACAGGATGATATGCTAATGGCTGCTCTATTAACTGCTATTTTATGGTTAACTTAAATATTATAATTGTTTTTATGAATGCTCGTTAGCTTTATTGCACCCCATTTTATCTCAATAATGTTCCACGGTTATACAATACTAGCGATTCACCGTCGCTCCGCTCGGGTTCGTCCCTACTTACGTTTTAACGTTTGGTAAAGATTTCTCAGAGAGGAGATATTTTTTCACAGTAAAAAGTATCCTATATGTTGACCTGCATAACCAGCTATCACCATACCAAACTTCATCAAAATCTGTCCAGTGGTTTATCCGTGATGCGGTAACAGACAGACAAAAATTCTAAAAACTGTAGATTCAGCCTCTATTTCAATAAGATTTTCCAAAACAAGTATTTAATGTACAGATTCGGCTTAGTTACAATTTTATTACATGTATAGATAACAATTTTCGTTTCACGTAAAAGAAATGTGCGGCAGATAATTTACGTAATCATGTAAGTATTCAATACTAATACATATAATTTCGTATAACAAAAAAAATATATAATAAAATAATGAATTGCAATAGAAGAATAATAGTTTTATATGCGTATTATATAAACAAATAATATTAAGTATTTGCGCAGTTAATTACACAAGCTGTTATTTGATACATTGTTGACAGTGGAACTATTTACCTGTAAATTATTATTGATTAATTTAAGATTATGATAAACCAATAAAGAAAAATATATTTTATTATTTTCTAAAAGTATGTGTTGTAACTTGTAATACTGCTGTTCTTATTATACTTATTGCATAGAACTGATGCTACAATTCTAAACAATTTATGGCCTTACCTTTAGGTGCTTTTGGAATGAAGTTTAATGTGCGATCCTTGCACCTCAAGTGTTCGCCAGTACCGTCGATCCACACGTACGTGGCCAGGATACGGTCGGCTGGTAGCGGCAGGTCATTATAACGTCCCAACAATGTCTTGGATAATACTGCGTTAGGTGAGTTTGTCAAGACTGGCCCTGACAGAATCTTTGGGTTATCTGCAAAAGTGGATTGTCAATGTCACTTTCAATTCAAAAGTAGGTATAATATTAAATAATTGTATAAAATATTTATTTCGACAATAAATATTTATTTATTACAAAGGAAATGAAATAAAATGTTTTATAATATAGGTCAAAATTAATATTTTTTACATATTTATTATTAATTTCTAACTAGGGCTAACCTTTACGTCGGTCGATAATAAAGTCTGTCATTTTGACATGACTCTTATAAAATGAAATATAAATTTATCGGGAATTGTATTTATAGCAACAAAACAACAATAAGTTATTATCTTTGACTGCGTCCCATTTGAAATGATATGGTTCGTTGTAACGACAACAAAATTGCAAGTAATAAAAAAGGCAGTACAAAGAATTTTATATGAACTGAATAATTAAAATTAAAAAATCATAACAGTCAAATTTGACATTTGCACAATTTGTAATTTAACTACCGCTTACCTTCTATTTTTGGGTGGCCTGAATCAGCCATTTTTGTGATTTTTTATTCAACCTGAAACAAAAAGAAAAGAACTTGAGAAATGAATAACGAAAATAATGGGAAATAAAACTCTTTTCAAATAAGAATTTAAATATAAAATTTAAAAAAATAAATTAATAAAAATATTGGACACGTTTTAGAGAATACAATTTATAAAAAATAAATAATTATTCTTCAATACGAATATAATTTTTTGACGAAAGAACGTTTAGTTCTTATAAGTTAGTTGGAAACTGCTTAGTTATAACATTATAATTATAATATAATCATTTATAATCCTACACGTAACAAGCTTACGTAATTTTTTTCTATAACCAATTTTGTCCTAGACATTTACCATTGAATCTACGAATAAATAATAAGTCTTATTATTTATTCGTAGCATTGAATAATAAAACACCAAACAGTAAAGCAAATTAACAATACGGATGCAATCAACGGATGGAATATAAAATTAACGATAATCTGATTGTCTATTATATTGTATAACTTCGCGGGTATAAATAAACAAGTAGGTACAATATGTACAACTGGACAGCCATAAAATAAAGAAGCATTGTAGTAAAACATGGCAATGTTAGCCTTGACTAACACTAAAAACTAAAAGTTTACATTTTATATAGCTCTTGCTTTTTAATAGATACGTTTTTGATTGAATGAATGAATGAAATAAGTCTTTATATTATAAAGTATAAGTAAATCAAGGCTGGAGACAAAAATATGGAAACAAACTAATAATATATGCATAAACTAATTTGTATCTGCGGAAGTGATTAAAATCACATATGGGGACACTTTAATATTGAATGTTTGATTATATAAGTTATATATACAAGAAAATGAATGAAGTGAATTAATTAATTAAAATTACATTAATTAGAGTGGTGTCATTCAACTTTATATGAAACTCGATTTGTAGATATCTAAAGCTCAGGTCACGTTCACGGACGTACTGAAGTAACTAGGTGAGCGACGAGCGTACTGTGTCTAGACACCGCATAGACTAAAATGTGTTGAAAAAAAAGTAAACAAACAGGCGATAATCTCGTATACGCGCCAAAGGAGGCCTACGCATAATTACTTAACAAGAAGTGGACTAGTCATGTTGACGTATAGCTGTGTAAGCAAGACCAGCTATGGTACAATTTACAACAACGCCCAATAAAACCTACAAACCTAACCTAAGTATATACAAAACTTACCATGTTTTTAATATTTAGTTAAACATACTCTTGCATATTTTAGGATAGATGTGGTAAAACGAAACTGGGATTTAGTTCCCTCGAGGTAAGCCTGACGTAATGCGTCGATTCAGTCTAAAATATTTAAACATGAATAGAATTTGTTGGAACGGTATTTTCGTTTATATCTTTACATACATAAATATTAAATATATAAAGAAAATAGGTACCTACTAAATATTTTGTTAATAAAAGTGTTATTATGATCAATGTTGTGTTTGTTTATAACTTCGTTTTCACGTGCATTTTAATCGTAGATATATAATATATATTTTTTTATTTAAAAAACATCAATATCTATTGTAAATATTTTCGCGTACGTTATATGGATGTTTTATGGTAACTGGTTTGTATTAATATCTGCCATACCGCGTCATTTATCGCGCATGCACAGCGGAACATAAATTGATTAAAGAACTAATGCATTATAAAAACAAAGCTATTCTTTGCCTACGATCAGATTTTTAAAGAAAAATAAAAATTTATAGACTTAAAACACTTGTAAATAAACTGGACCCTTGACACGAGACATTGGCCGCGAAGGTTTGGCTTGAAGCCAATCAGTAATATGTTAATAGATACCTACTGGCACATTATTCCCAGTACCTCTTTGTTATTACGCCACAAACGTCAAACTTAACTATGTCAGATTGCAAAGAAAGAATACCGCCAAGATTATTACAACATTTTCTTTTACGTTTTAAATAATTTTTGTTATTTATTTTAAAATATATGAATGTAGGTTGAAATACAACTGATGGAATTTTAACGCGGTTATTATATATAGTTTTAATTATAAGCATACCAAATACTGGGTGGTTCATTGGAAGCCTACACAATTTTACTCGTAGCTGTGTGCCAATATACTGCTAGACTGCATTATGTCATTACCAATTCGTTGTAGTAATGCCAAGAACATCAATAATATTAACGCCAGCACGTGAATCGATGTTTTTTAAGATACTATTGATTTTATCAAGGCCACAGGTCTAACAATGATTTAAATTAAAAAGTAAAAAACAAATGCTTTACTACAAGTGAATTCGATTTTGACTTCAGAAAATCATTCGAACAATTCAATCATCGATTCATTTATTAGAACGCCCACTGAGTTTTTTTTTTATGAACTTATAAACTTTTTATGAGCTTACTTTCGATTATTTCACTTTTAAGAAATGAAGTTGAAACTTAAAAATAACAGATTTCTTACTTAATTCAATTATAATTTATTAATAACTAAAAATAATTTATCAATAATAACAACACACATATAAGAAAAAAGACGACGAAGCGATATTATGTTCTTGTAAGTGAAATAAGTATCATCTTTAATTTAGTCAAATTTTAGTTAATTTAGTCATACTAAAGTTACGAAAATAGTACCTATGATCTAACTTAATTAATTCTAACAATAGTTGACCTAAAACATTACGTTTAATATATTAAACTATAACGGGAAAAGCGGGACGAGTTACGGAAATAACCAGTCTCACAATCAGATCTAACCGCTAGCCTAAATCTGGATATTTACAAGAAAAGATTACATAGCTACAGTTTGTTAATATAGTCTATATAGAATTAGGAGAAAATGTAATTATAACGTGTTCCATTTATAATTGTAGGGTTATCAAGAAGTTAGTATATTATTTATTCAAGAAACAATTTCATTTTCAACCTATCCTTATATCCACTAATGTAGTTGTTCGAAAAGGCAAAGGCAATCAAGCTTTCAAGATACGTACCAAGAATTCTATCGAAGTTTACTTTGCTAATAGATACTTAAGTTACATTGTCTAATTAACCAAGTTGATGTTTGTACGCACCTACTTTCTGTATGCCTAGTATATATATACTTACATAGTGTATTGAATCATATTTTATTACTAATGACTCACCCTCGCTTCGTTCGGGTTCGTCCTTAGGTACGTTTTAATTATTTTGAGCGGAGCTCTAATTCTTTTTCTAAAATAAAAGTAGCCTATGTTACTCCCTATTACATCAGCTATCTTCCAGTGAAAGTTCCGTCAAAATGAGTCCAGTCGTTTCAGAGATTATCCAGAACAGACAGACAAAAAAATTATAAATTGTGTTTTTCTTATAAGTACCGTATATAATTTCATATGCATTTAGTTAAACCCAGTTATTTTGACATTACAAACAATTTTATTTATTTGTATAGATGTAAGTATACACATGAAACATATACAATGTTTTGTATTTCGCAATAAATCACTTGAAATAGTAGTATAATTTTAAAAATAAGTAATACTACATCACTGAGAAAGAAAAACTATAACACTTACAGCTTTATTTGGGCTGTAGATATGACATGTGTCTGAAGATCTTGAGTACAAGTTTTCTCATAACATTCATCGTGCAATGAAAACCATAACATGCCTGTTTTGAATTAAGTCGCCATTTTTAAATATAACTTAGCTAATCCACGATGTGATGCTCATAAAATGGTATTTAATTATTAAATTATCTAAATTACATACATTATAATTTTAAATAATACTTAAGTATATAGCGTGTGTCTACTGACAATATTGTTTTGTTTGGTTTATCTCATTGTTCAACTAAGGTGTATTCAGCCCTTTTTATCGTCCCACTGCTGGGCACGGGCCTCCCTTCAGTACGAGGGGAATCAGGCCATAGTCCACCACGCTGGCAAAGTGCGGGTTGGCGGACTTCACATGTCTTTTAGAAAACTTGCTAAGTTCTCTCAGACATGCAGGTTTCCTCACGATGTTTTCCTTCACCGTAAGGCAAGTGGTAATCATGTTAGAAATGATTCGCACATGAAAATATCAGAGGTGCGAGACCCGGGATTTGAACCCGCTTCACTCGGTTTCTCAAGCGAGCGCGTTACCACTGGGCTACCACTGCCTTTTTTAACACTTTTTTAACTTGCCTTTTTTCAACTAAGGTAGGTACATATAATACACGTACTCACAATCAGATATTAAATTTATGACGAATACCGATCGGCCTATGTATAATCCAGCATTATATTACTCTAACGAGACAAGACGATAAGATGCAATCAGTTGGATGTAATCCATAAAGGTGCATTCTCCGCTCATAACCGGTGTCTGGTAAGAGCTTAATCCTGACTAGACTGGGCATTTCGAATTCACTTTGAAATTGTGTAACCATTGAACAGTGTTCTTTGCAGGCGAGTACCTGGTAGTGTTTACAAGAATAAATTTAACAAAATGAATGAATAATGAAATATAGCATTTTCATTTCATCATTTCATTAGAGATAGAAGATCAAAATGAATGCACCTCAGATTCTCACCACTGCATTTCGGTAGCAAAAAATCCCTTGATTTTATAACATTCAATTATATAACATGACCTGATTTCTGTGCGAGAATAGTATGACTTAGTCACAAACGACCCTTGAAACGTGTGTAATTTGCGTTAACGACGCGAAGGGTGAAATAAAATAAAATTTCTGCTAGGTACTTCTATCCACACGATAAAATAGTAACAGAGCGAAATCTGTACATGAATAATTTTTTAAAATTCAATTACTGTTACGTATTGTGTACAGTACATAGAAACTAAAACACTAGTTATTATAATTTTGTTTGTTTGTCTGTAGGCATTTACTCGTATGTGTGCGTATCACGCAAAAACTACAGAACCGATTTTAACTCTAAATTTTGTGTAGTGATAACTTATTATTCAAGTCAACATTTAGTATATCTTTTACTACAGAAAAATCTTTCATTCCCACTGG